TGATGGAGTCTCTCTCGAAGTGTTCCTCCTGGGCTGGGAAGGTGGCTCAGTGGTAGAGTGCTTGCCTTGCATGCCTGAGGCCCTGGGTTCGATTCCTCAGCACCACATAAGCAAAAAGAGCCGGAAGTGGCACTGTGGCTCAAGTGGTAGAGTGCTAGCCTTGAGCTGAAGAGCTGAGGGACAGTGCCCAGGCCCAGAGTTCAGGCCCTACAACCAGATCCCCCCCCCAAAAAAAAAAAAAAGAAATCCTCCTCCCTCCTCCCTCCAGCGCCTCAGTGAGGTGAGCTGTGGTCACACCTGCCCGGTCCACTGGGCTCCCCTGTGGCTGCGTACCTGGGCCAGGACCCCAAGGCCGCAGTTTCCCTCCACCACCACGGGCCTCCTCTCCTCTTCACTTCCTCTTCTGCCCCAGTGACCACAGAGGAGGGCAGCTCACGCTGGGAGGGAGGGCTGCACCTCACATCTCTGTCAATAAGGCCTTTGGCTCCAGGAGATAAGCTCTCAGCGGGAGAGGTAAAGTCAACAGACCCCCGAGCAGCTCCAGAGAGAGGGCTGAGGATGCTAAAGGTGTGCCAGGAAGGCTGGTGGCTGTGTCACGTGTGTGTGTGCGTGCGTGTGTGTGTGTGCACGCGTGTGTGCTCTGCATACCCCACATATCCTCAGGACTCCTGTGTGTGTCTGTGCTGTGTGCCATTGGCTCTGGAGAACCTTCTAGAGCCAGGTGGTAAGGTCTTTCCCTGACTTCTACTGACTTCACTGAGGACTTACTATGTGCTGTGGGACAGTGACGGGACCGGATCACAGGGCCAGAGGGGAGGCCGAGAGCCAGCCTACCCGGGAAGGGACGCTGGCCGCTAAGCCACAGGTCTGCCTGTGGCTTCCATTCCCAATGGGAAAACCCTGGCTCCGTGCGCCTGCCTGGCTTTGGGATGCAGTGATTTTTGTCCCTCCAGCCCGCCCCATGTGATCCATTGCGGTGAAGAGGTAAACAGGTCAGGGAGGCAGTTTAGACCGGTGTGTTTCAGGCCCTGGGTTTGACCCCCAGCACTGCAGGTTCAAAATGAGAACGCTGTCCCCCAGCTCGGATCGGCCGGTCACACGATAGTTACGGTCTCTCCTCCAGGACCACCCGGCCTGTGCTTGTGGGGCAGGGACACCAGGAGCCACAGGCAGGCAAGTTTATTCAGTTAGCCTCGTTTCCCGCCCCCCACCCTCCCTACCCTGCCCCCACTGCAGCAGGGGTCAGGACCTCCCCTTGGGGGGCTGGCTCTCGGCCGCACCATTTTGGTTGGTCCAGCTCTTGCAGTCCCAAGCCTGGTTGGGTAGAGGTTGTGCGGCTGGGTGCCCAGGCTGTCTCCCAGCAGATCCCCCGTGTCCTCTGTTTCCTGGTGCCGTGAGGTCCTGGGATGTCAGGGTGGGTGGCTCGAAGGATGCAGGCTGAGCAGGGCTCCCAGGCCATGGAGGCTGAGATGGAGGCTGAGGTGGTGGAGGATGATGGAGGCTGAGATGGAGGCTGAGGTGGTGGAGGATGATGGAGGCTGAGATGGAGGCTGAGGTGGCAGAGGCTGAGATGGTGGAGGATGATGGAGGGAGGTGGGCACCGGCCATCAGAAGGCTCTGTAACTCTTGGGGCTTGATGCCCTTCCTGGCCTGTCATGGCCATTCCTGAGCTCCCACACGCCTAGGCAGTGGGCTGGTAAACAGCTAAAAGTAACTGCTCATTCTCCTGCTCCGTGACAGCTCCCCGGGCAGCCCGCCTCTAATTTATGATGGCGTGGCTTTCCGACCTTCCAACCTCCAGGCTTCTATCCTTCCCCGTCGGCCATCTCCACCACCGCAAGCTGAAGCCCTCCTCCTGCCCGGCCCAGCCAGCAGCTCCCGGAAGGGCATCACCACCAACCCGGCCTGGCCTCCAGGACACCATCCTTAGAGAGAGCGTCCCGGCCCCCTCCCACGGGAGTCAAATCCACCGGCTGCTCCTGGCAGCCCACGGGTCCCCTCTGCAGTCAGGGCGGGGAGAGGGGAGGCCTCTCCATGCGTGCTTCCTAACTGCAGCAGAATCCTGGCTGGATGCTCACCAGAAAGTCAGTTGCCTCCCAGACCTACAAGGGGACAGGATGCTCTTGGTTAGGCTGTGCCAGTGGGCGCGGAGAGGAGGCTGCTGACCACGCCCCCAGCCGTGCCCCGCCTCCCAGGGCCTTCAGCCCTCCCTCTCCCTCGCTGAAGGGAGGGGTTTCCTCTGAGCAGAACCCAAACTCCTTTTCCAACTCTGTGGTGTTCATGGATGCCCATGAGAGAGAGAGGAGAGAGAGGGGGGAGAGAAAGGGGGGAGAGAGAGGGGAGAGAGAGAGAGAGAGAGAGACTCTCCTTGCTTTGCCTTTTTCTTTTTTTTTAATGCCAGTCCTGGGCTTGAACTCAGGACTCTGTCCCTTAGCCTTTTGGTGGTTGTTGTTGTTCAAAGCTAGTACCCTACTAGCCTTGTGCCCTACACAGCCTCACCTCTGGCTTGTTGGTGGTTAACTGGAGAGTCTCCTGGACTTTACTGCCCAGGCTGGCTTTGAACCGTGTAATTCTCAGTGCTCAGCTTCCCGAGTAGCTAGGACTATAGGCGCGAGTCACTGGAGCCCTGCTTCTTGCTTTTTGCTAATTAACAGATGTGAATTAGATGAACAGAATGGTGCCTCTTGACCCTGTGGCTTCCGTCCTGATAACTCCTGAGGCCGGGCATGGTGAAGGGTTCTTTGAATGAGAAGCGGGGCCTTGAATGCTAGCCAGGACGGTCCCTAACCCATGGCACCGCTTTGGGCAGGTCAGCCCGATTCTCCGGGCCTTATGTTCCTCACTTGCTTGGGAAAAGAAGCCCGCCCACAGAGCTCATTGCTTCTCAGAGCCTGGTCTGTGGGCACCAGAAGCAGCCTCCTCTGGGAGCTCGTTAAGAAATGCAGAGTCTCAGGCTCCACCCTAGACCTCCTGGCTCAGCGCCTGCATCTTTACAGTCATCCTTAGAGTTACCACACACTGCCACGTGAGGTGAATGATTCACAGTTAATTTTCTTAACATTTGGCTAGTAAGTGCAAAAGGAAGTTCCTGAGCTTTTCTTTTCTTTTTGGTTGGTCATGGGGCCTGAACTCTGGGCCTGGGCGCTGTCCCTCAGCTCTTCAGCTAAAGGCTAGCACTCTACCACTTGAGCCACAGCACCACTTCCGGCTTTTTCTGCTTATGGGGTGCTAAGGAATCAAACCAAGGGCCTCATGCATGCAAGGCAAGCACTCTTCCACTGAGCTACCTTCCCAACCCAGTTTCTGAGCTTTTCTACCGGAGTAATGAAAGTGATGTCGAGAGATACTGCACTCAGGAGGCTGAGATCTGAGGATCATGGTTCGAAGCCAGCCTGGGCAGGAAGGCCCACGAGACTCATCTCCAGAAGCGGCGCTGTGGCTCAAGTGGTAGAGCGCTTGCCTTGAGCTGAAGAGCGGAGGGACAGCACCCAGGCCCAGAGTTCAAGCCCCACAACTGATCAAAAAAAAAAAAAAGAGAGAGAGAGAGAGAGATACTGCAGCAAGCAGGGAGACTGAGGGGTTGAAGCTGGACTGGGAACGGAGGGCCTGGCGGGGTGCAGCTGCAGCCAGCGTGGCGTGGCCCCGGGTCGGGCAGTGGCTGGAGAGCAGGCCCCTCTGCTCCCTGTGGCTGAGGAAGAGAAGGAGAAAGGGAGAGGAAACCACCAGGCCTTTGCATAGGTCCTGCAGAGGTCCAGTGCTGCGTGTGTGCCAGGCTTGGAATGACGCATCCTTATTTGGATTTTATTTTGTGTTGGTATTAGAGCTGGAACACAGGGTCTGGCACTCTTGCTTGGTTTAAAAAAAAAATAAACTCAGGGCTGGTGCACTACCATTTGAGCCAGTTCTACTTCCAGCTTTTGGCTAGTTAAGCAGAGATGAGTCTCTGTCTGGGCTGACTTTGAAACCTTGATGCTTAGCTCTCGGTCTCCTGAGTAGGTATGATCACAGGCGTGAGCCACCCACTTCTGGCCTGTTGCTCATTGTAAATCTATGTCGATCCATCCTAACGGGATTGGAGGCCAGGCAGGAAGATGAGGGGCACACGGGCGATGTGTTTAGTCGCTCTGGATGTGCGGCTGTCCCCTGGGCTCACTGGTTCTGGGTGGGCTGAAACCCTCAGCTCTGGTCTCTCCAGCACAAGGACTGGTGTGGATAGAACTGGGGGTCCGCTGGGCAGGTTTGGGGGCTGACTGGCTGGCACTGACCTGCAGCTTGGGCCTGGATTAAGTTAATACTGCCGGTGGAGAGGAAGAGGGAGTCAGGGCCAGCTCCCACCCAGGAGAGCCACTGAGCCTGGGACTCCTGTGATGATCGGGGGGAAATGGGGGGGGGGAGGATGGCGGGACAGAGCTCCTCTCACAGGGACCACCACATGACCCTCAAGGCGACCTTTCTAGTGTGTTCACTCTGCACGGATTAAGCGATGGAGTTCATGGTGTGGGGCTAGGTGTCACCGTGAGGCCCTTCTGTGCTAACAACTCAGTTGGGCACTTTAGGAGACCTTTGAGGGCGTTCACTCCGCAGAGGCTTAGGACCCACTCCAGGGGAGGGGCTCATGGTGGGGGCCTCTCCAAGGCCACACTGGGCCAAGATGGCTCTACAATTGAGGTCTCTTTTCTCCCTGTCCCCTACTTTCCATAGCTTACCAAAGGCCTCTTCTGGGCTGCTCTGGGAGCAGAGGGGCTCATGGCTTGGGGTGGCTCCAAGGTTCTTTTCTGGATGGAAATCCTTTCAGACTCAGGGATTAAGAGTGGTTCAGAAGGCCTTGGGAGGGAGGAAGCGTCCTTGGCCGAGGACCCGGCAGGTTTGACTGCACACATGATTAAGGAGCTCAGGGGGGATATATACTTGTCCCGCGTGCCCCTGGAGGAGACCTAAACCATCTGCACGTCCTGAGTCCGGTGCATTCATCCCGGCCAGCGGAGAGGCGCGAGGCCTGTGTTCAATCACCTTCTCTGGGCTCGTGGTAGTCGCAAATTCCGGGTAATGAGTGCTCCGTGGAGCCCTGACAGCCCGCTGCACACTAAATCAAGAGCAGGGGTGGGGTGGGGTGGGGGTGGGGGAGGTGGGCGCCCCAGGGCTCGGGCGGGGAGTGTTGCTTTGGCTGGGACAGCCACCGCCAGGCCTGTGTGTTTGCCTCACAGGTGGCCTGATGCAGGGGGGGCTGAGTATAAAGGGCTGCGAGGTGGGCCTGGGCCATGGTCAGTTGTGGTTGCACCTGGGGAGGGGAGCCTTTGGAGGGGAAGGGACCCCTCTCCACCCTCTCTGGGGGCTTCCTATGCAGCACAAAGAAGCTAGAATTGTTTTTTCCTTTGAGAATGGAAACTGGACGCTGGAACCCGCGTGCGTTTTGATGGATGACTTCCAGGATGCCGTGTGTTTGGAGAACACAGCGCCCAGCGGCAGGGCTCTTCCCCACATGTCTATCCCTGTCCCTGGTCCTGGGGCGGGAGCTCAAGGCCTGGCCACTGTCCCTGCGCTCTTTAGCTCAAGGCGAGCGCTCTACCGCTTGAGCCACAGCGCCACTTCTGGCTCTTTCTGAGTATGTGGCACTGAGGAATGGAACCCAGGGCTTCATGCATGCTAGGCAGGCCCTCGACCACTGAGCCACACTCCCAGCCCTGGGAAATCGCCCCTGCACCTCTGCAAGGGAAAGTAAACCGTTTTTCTTTATGAGTGATTGTGCAGGAGGTATTTCAGCAGGGTCATGAAAAACGGACTAAGAGGCCATCAAGGGAGGGTGACTTGGGACCTGCCCAGGCGACGGTTCCGGGCGAGGCTGCCACCGAACGAGGGCGGGAGTGGGAGCCTGGGCCTGGCCTCTGCCGGATGTGAGGAGGCAGAGGGAGAGGCCTGGGCAGGTTGAGGGCAGATGGTCAGTTGCCAAGAGCAAGGGGGAGGGGCGTGCGCGGAGCAGTGCTGAAGGCCCGAAGGGCCCCCTCCTCCCGTGGTGCCACTGGCCACCCTGGGGCTTCCTCTAGGATGGACAGTCCTCAGGCGTGGGGCTCAAGGGGTGTTTACGTCCACGGCTCGTTGGCGAGAGCTACCGCCAGCAACGGCCAGACAATCGCTGGCTCCGCGCCTTCCTGTTCAGAGAAGGCTGGGCAAGGGAGGGCTGCCAGGAGGGCCGGAGAAGCAAGGGGGCCGAAGGCCTGGGTGAGGGCGACAAAGCCCGCCGCGCCGCCCACCCCGGGGCCCGTCTTGGACTTTCTGGTCCTGAGCCACGGGACGGTCTCCAGGGGGGAAACGGAGGCTGCCACGGGACGGCCTCCAGGGGGGAAACGGAGGCTGGCCACGGGATCCGACGTGGGCCAGCCAACCCCCTCCTTCCCCTCCCTTTCCTGCTGGCTTCTCCACCCCTCCCCGCAAATGCTGGGGAGCAGAGCGGGGAGACTGCCCCCCCACCCCAGAGGGCCGCCCGCCCCGCCCCGCCCTGGGGGTGGGGGAAGTTGTACTCACACTTCCTCTGCAGGATGCTCTGTCTGGCCTTGATGAACGCCAGGATGTCGGAGTCCGTCTGTCTGTCCCCGGTGAGGGGGATGGACGACACAGGCCTTTCGGGGGGGCTGTGGACAAACACGTGCTTCAGAGTGCTACGCCCGTGGCTGGACTCGGTTCCCATCCGGAGTACATTTCCTTTGTGGGTGTCTGGGTCCCCCATCACATCAGCCTTTCTCTCCCTCGATCCCTACCTCACACCCTCCTTCATCGCCGCGGACCCCTCCCCCCCCCCCCCCCCCCCCCCCCGCCCGGGTGCTCCCATGCTGCTTTGCTCTCCGGCGGCCATGATGGCCTTCTTTCTGCCATCTGAATGAACCAACCTCCTTCCAGCCCCCGGGCCTTTATTCTGCCTGTTTCCTCCCCCTGGAGCCCCCCCTTTTTATCCCCTTCTTCCTCTCTTCTCCTCCACACCTCCCTGTGCCCCAGATGGACCCAACCGACTCCATGTTCCTCAAGCCTCCCGCACCCAGTCCCCAGGCACCCCCATCATAGAGCACCACCCCCCAGCCTCCCCTTAAAAACAGAACGGCATGTCGCTCAGGGACACAGCCAGGGGCTCCGGCTCCCTCTGCGGCTGCGGGGCCAGGGGTTTGTACGCCGAAGTCTTGTGTGGGAGTTCCGGGAACCCCCTCACGAAGTGGGGTGTTCCCTCCTCCCTCTCCACTCCCTTAAGAAATCCCGGAGCAGCCGGGCGCTGGTGGCTCACGCCTGTCATCCTAGCTACTCAGAAGGCTGAGATCTGAGGATCGCTGTTTAAAGCCAGCCCGGGCAGGAAAGTCTGTGAGACTCTTATCTCCAATAAACCACCAGAAAACTGCAAGTGGTGCTGTGGCTCAAGTGGTAGAGTGTTAGCCTTGAGCTGAAGAGCTGAGGGACAGCGTCCAGGCCCAGATTTCAAGCTCCATGACAAAAAAAAAAAAAAAAAAATCTCAGAGCAGTGCACACCTTGGCTGCCAGTGGCTGCCAGTGTGCCAGCTGCTCATCCACCCTCCACCCAGGTGACAGTGCAGTCCTCAGAAAGGTGGTGAGTGGGTGTCATGAGGGCTGTCCTTCACAAGGGGCCTGGGGAAGGGGTGCTGTGGCTGGGGTTCAGCCTTGGGCGGCTTTGCCAGGTGAGCAGGAAGTGGGCGGGGACTCCAGTCAGAGGGCACAAACTGTGTTGTCCACGGAGTCCACAGCCCCAGCCTCGAGGCTGGGCACGGCAGCTCTGCTTCTGCTGAGGGGCCCCAGTGCCCCGGGAGAACCACCCCAGCTGGAGACCAAGCTGGAGCTTCTGGGGCCTTCCTGGGCTGAGGGGTAGGGGAAGGGGACAGGCTGGGGGAGGGGGGAGGCAGATGCCTCTCCAGGGCCTGGGGGGGTGGGGGAGACCCCTCACCTGCTCTCCCGCCGGGTGTCGCTGCTGCTCTGCCCGGGGCTGCATGGGCTGGAGCACAGGGAGGGCGGGTGCTTCCTGGAGCTCCTGTCACTGCAGCAGACAAACCCAGAGAAGAGACAGGGAAGGGGAGCTTTGTAAGCAGAGAAACCCAGGGCCTCTGTTTAGGAGCATCCGTGACTACAGGTGTCCCGAGGTGCGTGGAAGTCCCACGTGTGCCAGCGTGGCTCCTGCCCGGCCTCCCGCCGAGGACGCTCACTGTGGGCCAGACTAACGGGGCCAGCCCAGATGCCTTCGGAGGCTGCAGGGCCTCGGGCGGCCACAAGGTGGCAGGCGCCGCCTGACGTTTTTTAAAGTGGCTGCTGGAAGAAGCCGTGGGCTGTTGGAAGGACATGGGTGTCCCTCCCACCCCTGTCTGTTGTGTCCACCAGCTCTTGCAGGAGGGTGTCGCGCAGCAAAGCGTAGGGTTCCTCCAGTCCCTGGGCCCACCCTGGGGAGGCCCCCAATGTCACAGCTCCGTTTCCACGGCCCTTGGGATGGGGGCTCTGTCCTTCTGCTTTGTTCAACCAGCCGCTGGCACAACACCCATGTCTCCTGCGGATCCCCCTCCCTCCATCCCCCCCACAGCCACTATCAGAAAGAATCATCTCCATTAATAAGGATTAATAAGCAGTGTTAGCTATAATTAGGCCTCGTGGGCTGCCGGCGTGTTTACTGTGAGCGGTGGCCAGGTCTGGGCCTCAGGACCTCTGACGCCACACGGCCAGGCCCAGCGGGCAGCCTGAGAGAAAATGACCAGCCGTCTCCGAGTTTTTTTTCCACTCAGGGCTGGTCCTCTACTGCTGAGTCACAGCTCCATGGCTGGTTTGCTGGTGGTTCTTTGGAGGTAAGAATCTCATGGACTTTCCTGCCAGGGCTGGCTTTGAACTGCGACCCTCAGATCTCAGCCTCCTGAGTAAGACCCGAGCCCCTGGCGCTGACCCTCTGTCATAGAACTGTGGTGTGGGAGGGACGTGGGCGTAGCTCACGGATGGGGGGGGATGCCAGAGCGGGGGCTGGCTTGATCAGGGCCACACGGTTGGGAAGGGCTACTGCTGTGAAAGCTGTGGCCGTGGCCGCCGTGGCCGTGGCCGCTGTGTCCCAGTGAGGGTGAGCGGACACATTCGTGTAAGTGAAGTCCACCGCGCATTCTGATCTTGGATGCCCCACTCCAGGTGCTCCGGCCTCTGCCCTGACAGCGGCCCGTGAGGGTGGAAGGCAGCGTGTGTGCGTGCGTGCGTGCGTGCATGGGTGTGTGTGTGTGTGTGTGTGTGTGTGCGTGCGTGTGCGCGCTCCTGGCCAGCTGGGTGTTTGGGAGGAGATGAGGCTGTGGTGTGCGGGAAGGTGCCACAGGCTGCCCTGGGCCCCTGGAGCTCTGGAAGGCTGCTCTTGCCGCTCCTGATTGTTCTCCAGGCCAGCGGTTAGCCCTGTGTCCTGCGGCCTGAGCCAGGCCCTCGGCTCCCACCCGCATCCCCTTCCTGCCCAGCCCCCTTCCCACTCAGCACACAGGCAAGAGACTATGGCCGCAGGTCGGCTGGCCACCAGAAGCCTGGAGGGTGGGCGCCATGCTGCGTGGCCTGGAAGGAGCTCTTTCACAGGGCATGCGTGGGTCAGGGAGCCGGGCTGGGGCCTCCCTTACCTTCTGTGGGAGGGGAGCTGGAGCCCGTCCCGCTGGGAGCTGGATGGCTGCGAGAGGGGCTTCTCCTGGCGCAGTGAGTTTGAGGCTGGAGAAGACACCTGTCGGGCCAAGAAGGCGTTTCATGGGGAGACAGTCTCTATTCTTTTGCAGTGTGGGGATAGAATCGAGGGCAAGGACTTGACCCCCCCCCCCCCCCCCCCCCCCCGCACGGTACCCTCGGCCCTTGACAGAATCCTTAAGGAAGAAAAGCCAGTGGTCAAAATTGGTATATACACCGGTATGGCAATCATAGCAACAACAACCACAACCACAACAATAATAGTTATGACCGTAATGCTAGCTACCTACGCTAACGTAACCAAGCCGGTGCCAGTGGCTCACGCCTGTCATCCCAGCTCCTCAGGAGGCTGAGATCTGAGGCTCAAGGTTCGAAGCCAGCCCAGGCAGGAACGTCCATGAGACTATTATCTCCAATAAACCACCAGAGAACCGGATGTGGCACTGTGGCTCAAGTGGTAGAGCTGAGGGACAGCACCCAGGCCCAGAGTTCAAGCCCCTCGACCGACAACAACGACAACAATAACAACAACAACAAAGTAACCTAGCAAGGAGACCTGTGGGGGTGGATTTAGGGAGGGGTGGAGTGGGGTGGGGGAGGCGATGGAGGATGGTGGAAAGTCACAAGGACCGCATTCTAATGACAGGAGAGTATTACAGGCTCTAGTAGGAAAAGCCCAGAAAACCCCCAAAGATAAGTACGATCCCTAATCCTATCATCTGGAGGGGATCCTTGGGTGTCCAACATCATGGTCCCAGCCCTCGGGAAGGCTGGGATTACAGACATGTATCACCATACCCGGCAGTAATATACTGGCTACTGCCTGGCTGTGTGTCCTTGGAAGTATCTTCTCAGATTCGATGTCCTTAACAATGCGGGCATCTGCCCGGGAGGGGAGCTGAGGACTCTGCCGGCCACATGAGCGACAGTGCTATTCTGTGTATACTCTGTCTCTCCCTCCTACCACCACTGAGGGGCTTGCTCCAGGAGGACCGCCGGCTCTGGGTGGTTTCTAACACTTCCTGGCAGGTTCTTTTAGCCTTCAAAATATTACAGAGACATTCGAGGAATTTGTCTGGGGAATATGCAAAAAATTATCCACAAATATGTTTCAAGTGGAAAAATGAGAAATGATCTAAATATCAAGAACAGATTGGTTAAGCTGATTAAAATATATCCCTATACAGCATCCAGGAATGATCTTGTAGAAAGTAACACGAACAGAAATAGTCATTCTAAACAATTAAGTTGGGGGAAAAAAGCCATTTGTGACACTTGAAAAAGAACAGAATTCTATTTGCGTAAAAGTACATTGATGGCCGGGTGCTGGTGGCTCACGCCTTAATCCTAGCTACTCAGGAGGCTGAGATAAAGCCAGCCTGGGCAGAAAAGTCCATGAGACTCTTATCTCCAATAAAAACCACTAGAAAACCAGAAGTGGCGCTGTGGCTCAAGCAGTATAATGCTAAACTTGAGCAAATAAAAAAAAGCTGAGAGTATTGAGTTCAAACCCTACTACTGGCACAAAAAGGAAAAAAAAACCCCACACATTCATGTATATCCGAGGGAAAAAAAAGCCTCTCCAAGTGGAAACGTTAAAGGGACTTTGACTTTCTCCTTCGCATCTTCTGAATATTCTAAGATGTCCACCTGGAGTCACCAGACAGCTTATGTGACGCCAGGGCTCAGGGTCTCTGGGCTTGGGGACTGTGACTCCTGGGCCTCCCCTCCCTTCCCTGGGGCCAGAGCAAGGAAACAGGTACTCCAGCTCCTGTGCTCCTGGTACTCGAGCAAGCATTCGCTTCATGAGCCAGCATGGAGAGTGGATGGGCCCCGGGCATCCGCACGCTCCTCTGCCTCCTGCCCAGCATCCCCTCCTCTTCCTCCATCCCCTGCGAGCCCCAGCACGCCATCCTGCGTGCCCCGCCCCTACCTGCAGGTTGGTGGCCTCCTCCGCCCACCAGACTTCAAACTCCTTCTGCAGCTTGACCTTGGCTTTGTCCATGAGCAGCTGCAAGTGCTCGATCTCCACCTTCAGGGCTTTCAGGCGCGTGAACATCGTCTTGTACCTGTGGCAGGAGGCCAGCTGAAGCAGGGTGTTGGCATCCGGCAGTGCCGCCCTGACCGGGGAGGGGAGGGGGGTCCCGGGGCCTGCCCACTGAGGCCAGGGGCTGGCCTCAGGTTTGGAGTCCACTGGACAGAAGTAGAGTGATTTAATAATAAAATAAAATATAACCCACAGCCCCCTCTTTGGAAGTGGAGCTGTGGCTCAAAGCGATAGAGTGCTAGCCTTGAGCAAAAGAGCTCAAGGGTAGTGCCCAGGCCCTGAGTTCAAGCCCCATGAAAGGAAAAAAAAAATACAAGAAGTAGAAGTGATTCATTTTTGTATAGCAGGCCCATGGAGATCTATGGAGTTGGCCCATAAGCGAACCTCAAGAATGAGAACAGCTTTTTACTAAGGTACACACACACACACACACACACACACGCACTTTCAAGAATGAGAAGTCTTTTACTAAAGTGCACACACACACACACACACACACACACACACACACGCATGCATGACCCCCCCCCCCCCTTTTTTTTTTTGGTAGGTTGTGAGGCCTGAATTCTGGGCCTGGGCGCTGTCCCTCAGCTCTTCAGCTCAAGGCTAGCGCTCTACTACTTGAGCCATAGTGCCACTTCTGGCTTTTTCTGTTTATGTGGTGTTGAGGAATTGAACCCAGGGCCTCATGCATGGTAGGCAAGTGCTCTACCACTGAGCCACCTTCCCAGCCTCTCTTTCCCCCAGGTCTTGAGGGCTTTTCTAGGAGGGTCATGTCCCTGCCTATGCACGGTGCTCTTCACTCTAGAAGTAGAATCATTTTGTGCCCCTAGATGGCTCAGGGTGTTCCCAAGACCTGGAGGGGGGCGGGGTGAAGCTGCTGGGTAAGGAGGAGCCTGGAGAGGAGGGCTAGGGGAGCGGGGACGGGAGGGTGAGGACCAGCTCCTTGGGGTGGATGCTTCTTGGCGGCATGCTTCTTGGTGCCTCTAGATGGCGGCAGTGGGCAAGCTTGGCTGCATCCTGAGCCAGGCTGGCCCGGGCAGTGCAGCGAGCTGGCCTCCTCGGGCCAGGCCAGCCTCTGCTCCCGTGGTTTGAGCCTCCCTCCCCTCCTCCCCGTCCCCCCGCCCCCCCCCCCCCGCCGCCGCTGCTGGGCCTGCTTTCCTGACTTGTTCCAGCCCCTCCCCCCGCCCCCCCCCCCCCTCCTGGGGGCCCAAGGAGGCCAGGGGTCAGACTGTGAGGCCAAGAAGGGTACCTCCTCTTCTCTTCCTCCAGCTGCGTTCGGAGCTGTTCTTCCTGCAGGTCTGGCTCGGAGACTCCCATGCTTTCTGAGATTCCTAGAGGAGAAAGGTGCCAGCTGCCGACCTCCACAGGGAGGGGGGGCGTGATGTGCACGCGGATGACAAGAGCTCAAGGCACCCTAAGTGGGAGAGGGCCCCACGAGTTCTTTCCGGAACCTCCCTCCGCGTCCTCCACTCCCAGGGCCCACGCGTGGCCACCTCCACCTCTACCAATCCTTCTCCTCCTGCGTCCCCAGGGGAGACCCCCAGCAGCCCTTCCCCAACCCCAGGACGCATCAAGACCTTGAGCTTCCAGCCAAGGTACACGACCCTCTTCTTCCTCAGCCTCCTCCAAGGCACTGGGGGGAAGGGGAGGTGGCATCTCAGGCCTGGGGGGCCCAGGGGACGTGAATGTGGGACCAGGGCTGAGAACCAGCCTTGGTGACCTGGCTGAGTGCTTAGTGCGCCCAGAGGGCAGCGCTGCGTGCCAACCCGTGGCACAGGAAAGCCAAAGCCGCATGAAAATGAAGGATGCAGGCAGAAGAAGAAGGCAGAGAGACCTGAAGGAAGGAGAGGAGGAGCAAGAGTGCAGAAACCAGGGGACAGAGCATATGGGAGTGAGTGCAAAGGGCCTGGGGCACATATTTGCCACCAGGGTGTCTGCAGCCCTTGGTAAAGGAAGAGAGCTGGGAGCTGAGCTTGCTGAGGGGCTCAGCTGAAGCCGGAGCGGGTGCTGAGGAGAGGAATGGCTTGACCTATTTTTATTTATTTATTTACCTTTAGGTCAGTCGTGGGGCTTGAACTCTGGGCCTGGGCGCTGTCCCTCAGCTCTCCAGCTCAAGGCGAGCGCTCTACCACTTGAGCCACAGTGCCACTTCTGGTTTTCTGGTGGTTGATCGGGGATGAGAGTCTCACAGGCTTTCCTGCCCAGGCTGGCTTTGAACCATGATCCTCAGATCTCAGCCTCCTGAGTAGCTAGGATGACAGGCGTGAGCCACCGGTGCCGGGCTTGGCCCTGTTTCTTTTCAGAAGTTTTTGGCTGAACAGAGACAGGGCGCCATGCCTGTGGCATGGGACTTTGGACATCCGGAATGAGGGCACAGCGTGTCCCAGACACCAGCTACTCACGTTACCATGGCTGCCAGACTCCCCCTCCCCCGCCAAAAGTCCTGTCCACTTAGTGTGTGCATTGTGCCCCCTCCCCTCCCCCCCCAGCCTGCCCAGCTGTTCCCTGAGGCTGGGAACCCTCCATGCCGTAGCAGGGCCGTGGAGCTGGGGGCTCAGGAGGACTCATGTTGTTCATGACTGAGACTCTCTCTCATAGGGCTCCACAAAGAATCCCTGCTGGGCACTGGTGGCTCACGCCTGTCATCCTAACTACTCAGGAGGCTGAGATCTGAGGATCGCGGTTCAAAGCCAGCCCAGGCAAGAAAGTCCCTGAGACTCTCATCTCCAATGAACCACCAGGAAACCAGAAGTGGCACTGTGGCTCAAGTGGTAGAGCGCTCGCCTTGAGCAAAAGAACTCAGGGACAGCACCCAGGCCCAGAGTTCAAGCCCCAATGACAAAAAAAATAAAAAAAAAAAAGAAAATCCCAGAGGAAGGCCTCAGGATGTGGGGGGCCTGTGCGCGGCATGCACTCCGAACCCACCGGCTTTTCCAGACCCTCCCTCGCCCACCCTCCCCATTCCCACACCCGCGGGGATCACTGGGCTTCCTTATCCCCTTCTCTCTGTCTTGGCTCAGTCAGCAGGGATCACTGGTGAGGGATGAAGGACAGGAGGAGAAAGACGCTTGGCCAAGACATCTCTATGGAGACGGAGAGCCAGGGTCATGGCGTGGGCGGAGGCCGCAGCTCCTGCCAGCTGGGCAGGGCCTTCTGCACAGCCTCCTCTGCTTTCAAGTCCCTGCCTTGTGTCGGTGGCTACCCCTGGGGTGCTGTGGTTCCTCCAAACCCACCATGGCTTCTCGACACTAGGCCCAGCCTACTACTCACCACGCCTACTGTGAGTGCTGCCTAGCGAGAAGCGGAAATGCGGCTTCCGGTCTGGGAGCCCAGCAACTGCCTGAGTAAGTTGCCTGCTCAGGACCAGAGATCCGCAAAGGCTCCCTCACTGCCAAGGCGTCTATTCTGGGCATCCACCTGCCCAGAGGGCCCAAGCCACAATGTAACAGTATTAATCATGGGGTCCTCTCCCTGGGGAAACAGGATGAGGGAGGAAGTGAACATGGTCTATGTTCCTTTCCTGGTGACAGTTGGCCTTAGCTGGGGTATACGAGGCAAGTCTGGCCTTTGAAGGACATTTGAATGATTAAGACTGCAGTTATAATATAAATGACCACCCCTTTGTGTGTGTGTGTGTGTGTGTGTGTGTATCAAAGACCTATAAGACTTGAGATTTTGAAATGGCAACAGTGATACACAGGCATAGGCCGAGATTCTAAATAGCTAATAGCTCAGGAAATAAGAGCAAAGATTGGCAAATGGTATTACACCAAATTAAAAAAAGCTTCTGAACCTCAAAGGGACCAATAACAAGAATGAAGAGACAGCCACAGAATAGAAGAAAATCTTTGCCAGCTACTCATCAGATGAGGGATTAATATCTAGAATACATAAGGCGTTCAAAAAAAAATCAAACACCAAAAGAACAAGTACTCCAATTAACAAACGGGCAAGTGAGTTGTGTAGTTCTGAAAGAAGCACAAAAGGCTAATACATGTATTAAATGTTCAACATCCTTAACCCTAAAGGAATTGCAAATCAAAATGGTACTGAGGTTCCATCGCACCTCAGTGAGAATGGCAACTATCAAGTAAACAAAGAACAGATGTTAGTGAAAATGTGGAGGGAGCGGGGAGGAAACCTTTACACGATGCTGGTGGGAATGTAAATTAGTACAGCCACTATGGATATCCGTATAGAAGCTCCTCACGAAACACGAATGAGCAGGTGACTGTTGCATCATCCCTGGGTAGGCATCTGAAGGAATCTAAGTCAGTACACTAGAACTACCAGCACACTTGTGTGACAGAAGCCAAAATGTACAGTAAGCCTCGTTGCCAAGAAACTATGTTTTTTTGTTTGTTTGTTTTTGGTCATGGGGCTTGAACTCTGGGCCTGGGCGCTGTCCCTCAGCTCTTCAGCTCAAGGGTAGTGCTCTACCACTTGAGCCACAGCACCACTTCCTGTTTTTCTGAGTGGTTTATTGGAGATAAGAGTCTCACAGAGTTTCCTGCCTTGGCTGGCTTTGAACCACAATCCTCAGATCTCAGCCTCCTGAGTAGCTAGGATTAGAGGCGTGAGCCACTGGTGCCCAGCAATTTTTTTTTTTTTTTCTTGGTGGGTTGTGGGGCTTGAACTCTGGGCCTGGGTGCTGTCCCTCAGCTCTTCAGCTCAAGGCTAGCGCTCTACCAGAGCACCACTTCCAGGGAAAATGAACTGTGTAACTTGTGGGCAGGGATGGGGAGGGGAACTGGAGCAAAGCAAAAGAAGGGATGACATCTCCCCTCCACCCCCCAAAAATGTCCTGGGGCTGGGCAGGTAGCTCAGTGGGAGAGCGCTTGCCTGGCATGCCTGAGGCCCTGGGTTTCTCAGTACCATGTAAGCAGAAAAAGCTGTAAGTGGCGCTGTGGCTCAAGTGGTAGAGCACTAGCCTTGAGCTGAAGAGCTGAGGGACAGCGCCCAGGCCCAGAGTTCAGGCCCCACGACTGGCAAAAAGAAAAGAAAAAAAAGAAAGAATAGAAATATCCTCATTACCTGAATCATGAAATGGCAACACCTTAATAATAACACTAACATTACATCTGAAAAAACAAAGAGGAAGGGGAAGGGAGATAAGACTGTACCAGAGGGGATAAATTGGATCAAAGAATATTATGTGCCTGTCTGGAAATATTGTAACGAAAACCCCTTTGTGCAGTCGCTAATACTAATCGTGTTAATTAAAATGACCTGTTTTTGTTGTGCTGTTGGGTGCTAATGAGCAATTGGGTTGGGGAGGGGTCTGCTGTTTCCCCTGGGGTGGGGAGGGCCCCTCCCTTTCCTCTCAGGATTAGTGGGGAGTCTGTGAGGGCCCTGGACTGAGTTTAGCCCCCCACCTGAAGGCCATGAGCAGCCGCCCTGCAGCCTGCCTGGAATTGACAGGAGTTCTATTTTCACCTTTAAGTAAAAATGGTCCTGACACAAACACGGAGGAGGAGGGGGCGGGGTGGGGGGTCCAGCATTGAACTGGGATGTGGATTTCACTCTAGGTCAGTCTTTACCTGTTTCTTTGAGATGAGGATCTCCCTTGGGATCCAATGGTTCCAGTGAGTGCTGGGGATTACTATAGACCACTGCAGATGAAGGAAGCCCAGGGTGGGGTATGAAGGTCGCCCCTCTCGCCCAGGTCTCCTTGTTTGCCAGTGCTGCCATTTCCCCACCTTGATCCAACCTTCCAGGATTGGTACTGCCCCGCCCCCAATCCCCTGTCCTGACCCCCGGCGGCGCGTGCTGCCTGTTCTTTATGATTCACATCCCTGAAACATCGTGGAATCATTTCCTGGCCCGAGACAAAATGGCACAGGTGGACCACCCCGCCCCCCCCCCCCCCCCCCCCGCCCATGTCCATCGGGCACTACAACTAGATGCACACGTGCTAAGCATCTTTCTGCTTTGACGTCATCCTTCAAGAAGGAAATGCAGCGAAGCTCCTGTTTCTCCCCAAGGACAGCACTGGAGGGGTTGGGTGTTCCAGAAATGGCTCCGTTCTCTCCACGTCCTTCAGCAGTGTTCTTTCTTTGGAGCAACACTCTACTCCTGAGATTTCTTCACATGGTGGACATAATACATACAATTCCATACCATGGGCTGACCCCCCCCCCCCCCCCCCCCCCCCGCCACATTCACATAAACTCTCTCACGCCAACTGCCCAACAGATTCCCTTTTCAAACACTGAGCTTCTGAAACAGGCCTTTTCTTCCAGGATTTGCCTGAGCCTGAGGCCCTGGTGTTGAGCTGGGGGGGGGGGGGGGGGGGGGAGGGCTGTCCCTCCCACCTGACCGGGTTCCCATG